TGCCAGGATGATTCCAGCTTCACAGCCAGTCTGTTCAACGTTGTCTTCACCCCCGGCAATGGAAGTGCCGCAATCAACATTGTCGCCGTCTCCTCTGTTCAGGGCAGCATTGTCTTTGATGTCTCTATTTCGGCTTACGGCTACGAGTTCCTGAGGCGCACTGTTGACCCCTGCAGCATCAACCTCGCTGGTCTGTGCCCCATGACTGCCGGAAAGATCACCATGAACTTCAACTTGCCTGTTGGTGAGGATGCCGTTGGCCAGATTCCGGGCATTGCCTACAACATTCCCGATCTCGACGCTACCGTCCGTGTCTTCGTCAACTTGACCGACACCTCCACTAGTGTGGCTTGCGTTGAGGCTGATATTTCCAACGGAAAGACTGTCGACTTGATTGGTGTCAAGTGGGCTACCGCCATCATCGCCGGCTTGGGACTGATCTCTTCCGCCGTTATTTCTGGTCTCGGTCACACCAACACCGCTGCCCACGTTGCCGCCAACACGCTATCGCTTTTCGGCTACTTCCAGTCTCAGGCTATTGTTGGTCTCACCGGTGTTCACCTGCCGCCTATTGTCCAGTCATGGACTCAGGACTTCGTTTGGTCTATGGGTATCATCCGCGTCCAGTTCATGCAGGATATATTCACATGGTACCAGCGGGCAACTGGTGGAACTCCTTCCACTCTCCTCAACTCCTTGACGACCACTTCTGTCCAGGTTGAGAAGCGTTCCATGGATTGGGCCCTTTCTGCCGCCAGAATGGCCAAGCGTGGCATTTCTTCCGTTCCCTCCATCATCGCCAAGAGAGCCAACATTCAGCTTTCCTCCGGCAGCTACATCGTGTTCGGTATCCAGAGAGTTGCCTTCCGCGCCAAGATCGAATCGACTAATCTCTTCATGACTGGCTTGTCCTTCTTCTGCGTTTTCGTCATCTTCACCGTTCTTGGCGTCGCCGCCTTCAAGGGATTCTGCGAGTTGGCTGTCCGACAGAAGTGGATGAAGAGCGAGAAGTTCCTCGAATTCCGCAACGGCTGGTTCACTGTCCTGAAGGGAATCCTCTTCCGTATGACGTTGATTGGTTTCCCCCAAATGACGATTCTCTGCCTCTGGGAGTTCACCCAGGCTGACTCCGCGGCTGAGGTGGTTCTCGCTGTCTTCTTCCTCTTCGGTATGGCTCTCACCCTCGGATGGGCTTCCTTCAAGGTTATCAGAATCGCGCGTCGCTCCGTGGCCATGCATCGCAACCCGGCCTACATCCTCTTCTCGGACCCGCAGGCCCTTAACAAGTGGGGTTTCCTCTACGTTCAGTTCCGCGCTTCTGCATACTACTTCATCGTCCCTACGCTTGGCTACACTGTCGTCAAGGGAATGTTCGTCGCCTTTGCCCAACGCAACGGAACCATTCAGGCCATTGCCTTCGTCATTATTGAGGCTGCTGCGCTCATCGCTGCCAGTGTTCTGCGCCCTTGGATGGATAAGAGCACCAACTCGTTCAACATTGCCATCTGCGTCATGAACTTCCTCAACGCCGTTTTCTTGCTCATCTTCTCCGACGTTTTCGGTGCCCCGGCTCTGGTAAACGGTATCGTCGGTGTGGTTCTATTCATCGCCAACGCGGCCTTCGCTCTGATCCTTCTGCTGCTTGTTATTGTCAGCAGCACATTGATCTACTTCCGCAAGAACCCTGATGCTCGCTACCAGTTCATGGCCGATGACCGAGCCTCCTTCATGAAGTCCCAGACCCAGCTCAACACCACTACTGAGTTGGACGCTCTGGCTGCGACTGCCCGAGGTGACAAGGCCCACTACAACAAGGGACTCGACCTCGATGACGACAATGACTCCATCTCTTCTGAGTCCATGCGTCGCCGAGCGGACCCCTCTGGTGTTGCTTTGCCGCCATCGACTGCCCAGTCAGCTGCGCCCTCTCAGCACTCTCAGCGTCCTGGAGGTCAACAGCACGGCCAGGCGCCGCACTCACCAGTGGACCCTTCGATGCCTCTCTTCCCGGCAGACAACCGCAACCCCTATGGACAAGGGCCTACTCGCACCCCAAGCCCGTACAACGGCTCTGCATCAACGCTTGGTGCCAACAATCACAACCAGTACCGCAACCAGAACAATGCCAGCCCTGCGCAGTACCGTTCCCAAAACAACGCCAGGTAAGATATCAAAGGAACAAGAGCCACTTGGCAATACAGTAGCTAACAATTGAACAGCCCTTGGCAACGTGGTGCCGGATATGAGCACTAGATATGACTTCACATGATGTTTGCCCGTTTTGATGGGAGATACCACAGTCCCAAGGACAAAGCGCTAGGCAATCTTGCCGGTTCTTCTGTATATGTGTTGGCATTCTGGTCCACCCAATCATCTTGGGCACATTTTCTCGGATACACGAAAACAGGAGGAATTTTGACAGGAACCCAAAACCCCACCAGCTCAGTAATGATGTGCCAGGTGTGGGAAGGGAGACTTGAGCCCTCACCTTGGGTTATGACGCAATGCATCACAGGATAGACGGAATGGTATCTTCCTTTTTTTCCCTTCTCTCATCTCTATGTTCCACACACTTGTGTCTGGCATTGAAGACGGCGTCCCGAGATCACGGCGTTGATTATTGTTTTTACGGGTTCGTCGGGCACGCTAATCAGGAGGATTGCCGCGCCGTACTGGGTTTTCTTGACTTTGTAAATAAGTTGCTGATGGCAGGAGAAAGGATACCTCGCCAGCGAGTACAGCAGCAGTGGGATTGGGCAGGCTAGGGATTGGGATAGGGGTTCACAAAGAAAAAGCCAGCTCCAATGGCAAGAGGAAAGCAAACCCATCCGTGCCGTGGTCACACTCAGCTTGGAAGGTTTTGATTCTCTTAGGGATATGATGAACCCCATGATAAGGAAAACAGATAAAAACCCTCACAAAATAGCTAATGAATCCCTTTGTTACACAAGCTTTTCGGAGACAAGCAATGTCTAGGCTGATTCCAGGCGAATTCTTCTTGATGAAAACTTTACTGACGGACGAGCAGGCCTTGATATCTAGGGGGGTGGGAGGGGAAGAACCACGATTGGCCGACGGCGAGGAAGCCCAAAGTGTCCGCCGTCCACATCTTTGTTGAGTTGTCTTGTCCTCTCTTCCCCTCGGCTCTTGTGTCACGGTAGATCAAGAGACGGACAGAACTCCGACGATCAAAGTGCTCTCTTTTTCTCTTGTTTCCCCCAATTTAGAGTTGGGCAAACGGGCAAAGGGTGGTTAAAGATTCGGCCGTTTGGGTGGGTGGTTCGGCCGGCTGATCTACCGCGAGATGGACAGCTAAACACAAAAAGTTTCGGACGTTAGTTAGTTGATGCTCACCTGTTCTTGTCTAACCCATCAAAGAAGTGAATGATGGGTGGGTGGGTGGGATGGGGGAGACAACACGGGATAGAACGTCTGGTCCGGAAGACGAGCCGGGGCAGTCTCGATTTGATATCAGTTGGAAAAGGGATATCGTTTCCCGCGGCAAGTAAGGTTTGACCGACGGCCGTTCTGGACCCTCTTGTGTACGGAGCAGGATGGATGGGTGGGATGGACAGGCGGGACCTGAATGATACGTCCGTACCGGAGGAGGCTGGAGGAGAAGGAGAAGATCCAGTCATCCACACCCCGGGCTCGGAGGGGAAAAGCGTGGAAGGTGAGGGAGGTGAGAGTGGGCTCGGTGAAGGTGGTGTGGATTAGGTGTGGTGGAGAAATAGAGAGGCCGAGACGGAGAAAGGCAACAAGTATGAGGAATAGGATTCAGGACGGGAGACGCTGTAGAGGGGATGAGAGGATGGCAGGCTCAAGAAGAGAAAAAGGCAAAGCAAAAGGTGGAGCAAAGTCACGGAGGTTGCCTATCATTCATTGTGAGTGCAGTGAGACAGGCCCCTCCGTCCCAGGCTAACACAAATCCGGAGACCAAGAGACGACTGCCTTTTCTTTGTCTGTATAACGGTCATCGATTTGTGATGGACGAGGCAGCTGTTGTCGATCGGTCAGCCCGCCAGGCGAGACCTTGACGAGCTGGAAGAGGGGAAACGAGAATGGGATCATGGGAGCTCAAACACGCAATCCAACGGATGATGGGTGGGACGTTGGGATGGAGCGGAAGACCGGTTTTCGCAAAGTTTGTGTAACGTCGGAAGGATTTCGAGTTGACGATGTCCAGGTTTGACCGTCGATAGGGTCGGTAGTACAAGGCCAAGATGGGCCGACTAACCGACCCCTTCAACGCGTCTTGGCATCGCGACGTTGAGAAAGAAACAGTCCTCTTGGGCCCGTATCACACCCCTTGGCCATCGTGAGCCGCAACAGAGGACAAGAAGGGTAGACGGCATTCAGTCGAGCTATTTCCAATGTGGAAACGGCAAGCGAGGAGGGGAGTGGTCCAGCTGGGAGGGGTGCGTAGATGGGAAGAAGCCATGTCCAGGTAGGTCTAGGGTGGTGGACAGAGCTCCTTTTCGCTCGTCAAAGGGCGTTGAGGAGTCGGAAGCCTCCAAGCTTGTTTACTGGAGATGAGGGCGTAAGGCATCTCCAGTCGGAAGCGAAAGGTAGAGCGGCCGACTACGGGAAGCAACATCGTGACATACTGTGGCTGCTCGAGCTCCGCACCCTCTCGGAAACAACAGGCCCGGCTGACCAAGGCCAGGCTTGTGGCGCGGTGGTTTACCACGGCCTCGAACTGTGGAGGTCGTCGTGAGGCTTCAGATGCAGGGCGGTAATGGCCAAGGCAGGTGGGCCAGGAGCCGGAGAGCGGCACATGCAGGTGCGGTACACCTGCGTTGGCGTTTTCTGGGGATGGGCTTTTTCGCTTCCGCTGGGCTGCAGTTGAGGTGACGGTTGTGCCTGGCAACGTGTGGCGCGTCTCGGTAGTTCCAAGAGTGACGGCAAGGTTGGTCGGCGGCGCAGTCTACTGCTTGATATCACGGTATCGAGGCGTCGTCAGGCCAAAATTAGGTTGTCGTTTTACAAGCTGCTTCATCTTAGGTTTGAAGACGAGGAGGATGGTCATCAGAGCAGGGCTTCAACTCGATGTAGAGTCGGGCCCTTCTGGACGTGCAGTGAAGTGCCTGAAGACATCGCGAGGATTCCACTGAAGGTGTCAACACGAGGGCTTCGGGGTATCTGGCCGGCTTTCCTGTGGCTTCAGGTATTTGGAAGGGCTTTTCCCCTGGCGGCCGCTTGGTTGGTACGATCACCAGTCTGCTGGGTTCTTCACCAACGTCCACGAGGTCTGGAGTCGGTTCACCAGGCGCGACGTGGGGGCCCTCGGACTTCTCGTCGTTGTTATTGGTTGATTGCATTGTCGTTCGACCACAGGACTGAGATAGAACAAGGCAGATAGACGCGCGAGCTAGCTATAGCAGACGCGTTGTACGCCCCGAAGCCCCGGACACTCTTGATGGCTGACCGAGATGTGTGGATATCACGGACAATCTGGTCGGAGGGTAACGGTCTTCTGGGATTCCGGCTACGCCGCGCCTATTCTCTTGGAAATCCCACACTCGCTTGGGCAACATGAGGCTTGAATAATTAGCCCGAGAGATGGAGAGAAGAATAAACTGTGGCTCGTGTGAGATGGCGGCCGCCACAGTCGGGCTGAAAGTGAAGAAAGGGGATAGTGCACGGAGTAACCTATAGGCTAACCTCTTCGTCATGTCGTTGGTCGACGAGATGCCAGCTGTCATGACGGCGGGGGCTGAGGCGGACACGGCAGAACTGCCAAACATAGCAAGGCTGCCATGAGCCACAGTAGTAGGTATCGTGCTGGCGGCTGGCCCCAGATATTGCCTGCCCAGAATATCAGAACCTAGTCAAAAGATGTAAGTGAGCAGCAGTCGGATGGGGCCCGGGGTAAGACATACATCTGGACTGACCGAGAAACGACGACCGAGAAAGTCTGCTTTCGTCCGGATTTGGACGTGGCAGAGAGGTCCCCATAGTTCCTGTACGGCTTTTTAGAGTTGGCTACGGAGAATTCCATCAGCTAGTTAGGTAGACAATGACAGAGATGTCTCCGGAGAAATTGTTATTGGCCAAATAACGAGAGAAAGATGCCGCTTGACCAAATCAAGAGCATCGGTAAGACGCCTTTTCTCTTTCCGTATATAGAAAATCTGCTTCGAACACGATACAATGGCTGGTGGACGGTTGGGAAACCATGATGTTTGTTGAATGCTGATCATGTTTGACCATCTGCGAGAAGTCAAGAGCATCGGCACGAACAGCGCAAATAACGGTGATCATTTCGGATCTTGATGCTTGCCGACCGAATTGAGGGTCTTGAAGCGGGGACTGATGGTCGTTTGTTCCTACCTTACCTCATAGAATGCCATTTTTGACATGAATGACGATATCATGGGCGCACATTGCCTACGAGGCGACAAGATGTCACTTATTCGCAGGTCTTTGCCCGAAATGAAACGAGGATCCAAGACATTGTCAACAGAATGTGGCCCGCCATACAGGGTCAGAGGCTTCTGTATTGCGCGGCTCCTTTGAGGTAGAATATCAAATTCTGTCAGCCCAGTGTCTCGCGCCCTTACTCAGTCGTCTGGGCAGGGGCGCATTCTCTTGACAAGTGTCGTGATGCTCTAGACTGCGCGGGTAGAGATGCGCGCCTCTCCGGGCAAGGTTCTCGATCTCTCGGATGAAGCGAGTGAGACAAGGCTCGCCATGGCAAAGTAGTCGAGATCTTGCGCTTGTTGTGGCGGTTGGGAGTGGTATCAAGGGGACGGAGCTCGTCCCGGTGCTGCTTCCGGTCGAAGACGGAGCCCATTGCTGGGCGGCTGCGCCTGGGCAGATGCGTTGGTGGTCCCGCGTCGCGGCTACACAAGGCCAGACCCATGCAGGTACGTTGACTATCGTTAACATCGTACGAAGATGAGAGATCTTGTTTCGCTTGCGATGTAGTGAGTACCTGCTTTCAGTCGGGCAACGGACGTTGCGAAAGGGGTCCAGGAGAGTCTGCAGGGTCGAGACGTAGCGCGGCTGCGGCGTACGGCCGTGGATTGTAAAGATGCAATAACGTTTCCGGAAAGGGTGTACGATGTAGACGGTGGGGGATCTGAACGGAAAGAGACTTTCCCGATTCAAGCAACTTCTGCGAATGTGTGATCGAGCAAGCGAGATCGTGATTGTGAGAGAGCAGCGGGATAGAGAGACTCGAAGCCCAGGCGGGTGGACTTTGCACTGAGACATTGATACGCGAGACTGCGCCCTGTTGCCGTCATGCTCCTGGCACCTTTCGATTTCGGGTTTGGCGCCGCAGACAGACAGCTGTAGACAGTAGTTTGCATGTTGAGCTGCGAGATTCTGCAACGGGGATCTTGCACTAGTCTTCAAGAGTCGGGCTCGTAGGCGCGTGGGCAGGCATACCGTCAGACTGTCATGTCAGCTTGTGGCTGCCTCTTGATTTTTTTTCCTTGGGCGAGGAGAAGTGAGGCGGTATGGAGACGCCGTTCCCTCTTGATCATCCGTTAGAGGAGGGGGTGGATTTCACCGAGATCCCAACTTCAAATCCCGACGGTCTTGCTAGGATAGCAGAGGAGGCGTCTCCGAATGTCAGTGTGGGTGGGTGATAGAGGAGACCGAGGAGTGCGAGAGGTAAGGCTTAGCGGAGAATCCGGGGAGCGTCTGGCTGAGGTGGATGCGAAAGCCAAGTCATGATGGGATAAGAGGACGAGAAAGAGGGCAAAAGAGCTATCTGTTTGCGGCGATTTGGACCTTTAAAGGGAACGGGGAGGAGGGACTAACACAGGCCAGCCCACACCCCCTTGCTCCACTCACATTTGGGTTGTGATTGCCTTTACCCTTTCCTAGGTGAGGTAGTCCTCGTTGTCTGTAGGAAGTCATTATCCCAGTAAGTCTCCCTGGGCCTGGACCTCTTTCGCTACATCCTGGTCAGGTGCACTTCTGGGCCCCCTCCTCCTCATCCTCCCCATTATCGTCGTCGGAAGTTGGTCTGTGTTGGCTCCCGGAGGGGGGGGGGGTGGAAGGGGGTACCTGCTTTCTCCATAACGCCCGCCCGCTCGCCTGTCATGGGGATGGCACGGATGATGCGGGATAGCACAGACACCGAACGTGACGAGCGAGGTTCGGCCCAGGGGAAGGAAGAGAAGGGACGGAGGATACCCCCTCCTGCTCTGGCGGCCTGACCTGGGCGGCGCTCTGCCCAGCGTAGATCGGCTAACGGCTGGTCGAGAGACGGCCTCACGTAGCGGCGCCGTAGTTCACCACGAGAGGCTGCCCCGACCCTGCGGACTGGGATCTAGCGAGAGGCTGCGCGAGGCGTCACTCATGGAGCGACCGCAAGGCACCGCCGAGTAGTAGCAGAATGACTGCTATTTGCTGACTGATTAGATAATGTTGATGTTGTTGTTATTGTTCTTCCAAAGAAGGATGACTCGTGTGATGCCATTGGTCTCGGATAAGTGATGTAGATATTCGTGATGGGAAAGTTGGGCCATGGGAAAGTCTGAAGCATAGTATCACGTTCAAAGGGGACTTCACAGTTTGTTTGAATTGTGTGATATTTTGATGTTTCATCTGTTTTGCTAAGATAACCTATCCCTCCATATCTCATACCCTGGGTTCCAGCCTGTGATTTTGGGTTGATCCAACATAAGGAAAAGGAGATTAGCTAGTAAGTACTTGTTGGTGATGGTAAGAAAGTAAAGCGGCTATCGTGGATAAGCCGGTCAGGCGTCAGTCGGAGCTCGCGCTCCCCATGCCGTTGTGTAAATGAAAAAAAGCAAAAGTTGAAAGAGGCGAGAAAGAAGCAAAACCCATCCAGAGAAGGAAAAACCTCACGGATCAATTGCCGACAATTGATGATCCCTTGAAAACGCCTGATATCCCTTAGGACCCAAGCATGTCCTGACCCAAAAATGAACTCCCAAGCGCTCCCCAAGCGTATACCTGCCGTACATTGGAAGGAAGAAGAATGCTTTGCTCAGAAGACGAACCCTTCCTCAACCAGTTTGTCCACATCGCCGCCGGCGGCCTTGACGGCCTTGATAGCTGCTTCGCTCAGTCTTCGTCGCTTCTCCATCGCCTCCTTCTCCCGACGTGCCTTTGTCTTGGAGCTTCCACTGGGCGCCACACCGGTCATGAGAACATTCTTGTCGCTGGGAGTAAAGTTGACGAAGCCGACCCCCTCGGACGCACCGCCCAAGTTGCCGATGGAAGGAGTGCGCATGCTTTCGCGACGAGACCAAGACCGACGCTTCTTAACGCTGGCGCTGAGAGCTGCGCCGCCACCACCGATACTGGACAACGAGCCGCCGCTGCTGTGACGGGAGCGATTCGTAGGTGTGGGCGACGTTGAAGAGTCGCGGCTGGCTTGACGTGTGCGGCTCGGGTTACGCGTCTTGCGCATCGGCGTTGATAGGCACATATGCCGGGCGCCGGCCGAGGGGGCACGGGGCATGCGGGGCCGCCGCTCCGTCATCTGTTGGGGATGTTGCTGGTGGTGAAGTGGCTGTTGGGGCTGGTAGTGGACGATGGGCGAGGATGTGGTACGGGGTTGAGGCATGTGAATCATGAGTCCTGACATTTCCTGTCCGGCGGCGGCGATGTTGTTGTATTCATATGGCAGTTCACTGTGTTGTGTGTGCATAGCGAGGTTGAAGGTAGCGTTGCGAGCGTTCTGTGCTTGATATTGTGAGTTGGATGTCAAGTCCATGTTGTTTCCACCCCACCACTGGTCGTCGATGCCATCGGTAGTGGCATAGGCATTGGACCAAGCGACATGAGAGTCGGTCTGGGGAGTTGTTGTGGCCATTGGCCAGGAAGCCTTGCTGGTATTGGCAACGTTACCGGAGCTCATCTGCTGGTGGTGATAGAACATGCCGCCCTTGTCATCCAGAACGGGAGTGTCCAGTGGCGTGGTAGGATCGCTACGACGGAATACGGGGACGTGGTTGACGGCCACACCAGCATCGAAGAAGGGGTCTTCGACGTAGCCACAGCCAAACGACATGGGGTTGCCGCCGGCTGATGATGCGGAAGGCAGGTCCTGGGGAATAGTGGCACTGTTGGGAGGGGACAGGGGAAGTCTTGCGGGGTGAGGGCCACCGAGGTTCTGGAGATGCTCGGGACGGAGCTTGAACTTGCGAGGCGAGGCGTTGGGGGAGAGGGTACCCCTGCTGTCGATGGCGACGGTAGACATGGTGGGTTGTTTATGGCGGACAGAGGCAGCTTTCTGCTGCAGTTTCGATGCGACAACCTTGAAGAAGTTGCTCGGCTTACGACCACCGTTGGTGTGACTGTTGCTGCTAGTATTGTTCTGATTGCTGCTGCCGGCAAGGTGGAGGTTGCTGTTGCTGCTGGTAGCGGACGAAGCTTGAAGAAGAGGAGTGGGAGGATGGGAAACGACGACAGATGGAGCGCGAGATGGCGACGCTTTCAACGATATGCCTTCCAGGCGCAGGAGCTCAGAGTCAGAGATCGACTCGGCCCCGCCAGCGTGAGCTGTGTCCGGATAGGTCGAAGCCTTCCTTTGTTCTTCTTCACGGTCGATCGTCCATGAAGACTGGATACCCGGAACGCCCACAGCAGACGGTACCACCGCGTCTGAAGTCGCCGCCCCTCCTCTAGCGGCTGCTGATGATGGCACTAATGTGGCAGCGGGACCTGCTGCGGCGCTAGTCCTAGTTTCCATGAGCGGATGTGTGTGGCAACTTAGTATGTCGTCCAGATCGTCCGATACGCTTGTCGTCGACGCGGACCCATGAGAGGGGAGTGGCATGTTGTAGAAGAACGAGTCGGGCACGGCAGCAGAGGGAGGGAGCTCGTCACCCCCGGTGGTCGTCGAAGAAAGCCTCTCCAGGTCGACGAAGTCCTCGAAGAGGAGGCTGTCGCTGTGGACCGCACCCGAGCCCGATCCTCCCCCGCCGGCTCCCTCTGTCTCTTCTCCCCAGGGCAGGTGAGACTGGCCCCCGCTACCGTCTTTGTCCTCGTCCATTGAATCTACTGAGAACTGGACTTCCGAGTAGGCCATGTCGTTGTAGCCTGTCGGGTGCGAGCTGAGACTGACGCTCGTGCCGGGGCTCCTCGTCCAATGCGAGACGGCCACTGTCATGCTCTCTTGTGCGGGTGTCTCTGCCTCTGTCTCTGTACTAGAAATCAGTTCCGCAAACGATCCAGAGCCAAGGCAAGGATCAGGAACAGAAGCGGGGGACTGGAGACAGCAGTGAGGATCAGATCTGTTGCGTAGATTATGATGCAAAACGGTGGATGGTGGGTGAAAGACCCGTAGCAAAGGAGAGGGCAAGATAGAGAATGTTGCAATGTTCGTTTGCGGAAAGTGGAAAAAAAAAAGAGTGTAGAAAAGAGTGAGAGAAAGATGATAGAGAAACTGGGGTATAACCATCGAAGAATGGGACTCTTGTACGGAAATGAAAACCGTCGATGGTTGCAAACCCACATAGGGTGGAGGGAACGAGAGTCAACAAATACCGTCCAGCTCATGTCTCTGATCCTGCCACAGCAACTATTGCAAGAGATATGGATGCAGCACGGAGACGAGCACCATTGGAATTGGGGGACCGCAGAGATCACCGTGCTTTCAGCGAGGGATGCCATCTGTTCCTGAATGGCCAAAGGAATGCAACCCACGTCGTCTAGTGACCCAGCAGCATATCCGCATTCCAGTCAAGACAGGCACCTCCCACTCTGTACCTGCAAGAACTGGGGTTGGTAGGGCAAAGAGACAGCAACATCAAAGGAAACTCGATCATCGTTTTCTTTCAAGGCACCGTCGTTTAACAAGAAGAGAAACCATCCTCGAGGAGAAACAATCCATCTGCTCGCCCTCTGTGCCAGGGCTGGTATCGGAGACAAAGACATATTGCAATTCCCTAGATTGCAGGCACATGTTTGATCCTTCGGAAATTATTCTGCTTGCTTCAAAACTTCAGAATACTAAGCTGACTGTAACCTTGATTGATATTTTGCATGGCCTTGGCGGCTTGATACAGGACGCCGTCTGCTCGTCTGCTTCAAAAACGCCACTGGCGAAGCAAAATTATCATCGTGGACCCCCGGTCATACGTCCTCCTCCTAGGCAAAAGATTACATCGAGATTTGGACTTCGTCTTGCTTATCTTGATTTTATACCCTCCACTGGGACGTTGTACCTTGTGGCACTTTTTGGAAATAGATCATGGTATGCCAGGATGATGATGAAGTGATGACAAACAATGGAACGGAGATATTTCAAGAAGCAAAGTAGGGGCGTTGTCGGCTAAGAGCGATGGCGGTGCCAAACTGCAAGGAATCACGCCTTCGACGGCCGGACCGGCCACCGATCCAGGCTCATGCTCCAACTCCGAGTAGCTTTCACAGTCCGCGGCTAAGCTGTCCCAGCTCTTCGTGAACTAGGCTACCCATAGCTATCAAGGGGAAGACATCAGTCATTGGTGATCAGCTGCCCCAGATGGAACTACTGCACGTCTCCTCGTCGACGCTGACCTGACCACCTGAAAGCCTAATTGGGGTATCTCACCCTCATTAGCTGCGAGTTCCTTCGCTTACAACCCCTCCATCTTTCGGATCATGCCATACGCACTTGCGCAGGTGGAGAGCGTGTTAGCCGGGAGACAGCTGGAATGTTCATACGGCTGGCCCTTCATGATACTTATCTGAAGAGGGGTAGAAAAAGGTGTGATGAAATCAAGAGGGGGGCAGTGACGGTGGACGTCACCGGTTCTAAACGAAGATCGCGGTGCATTGTGCCGCATGCATGAATGGAGACTCCCTTGAAATCCTACTTTGACCACAATAGCTTCCCAACCTATCGGGACAGCTTGCTCGCTAGGCAGCCGTTGTCTATTGCACACGTTTCCCAACCACCCGCAAGAACGGTAACACTGAAAACATCGCTGTCCTGTATCATCACAATCTTAGTCATCACTGCGATTCAAAGTGAAAACGTCAGCAGATAAGAATGCGACACATCCCAAAGTGGGAGGTCTCGTTTGTTGAATTCGAAAGTTGTCTAGACTTCTTCAATAGTCTCCTCTCATCAGCGACCTAGAGAATGATGCATAGAGGCAAAACCCTGCCTGACAAAGGCTGTAAGTATTGACGCCACGTCTGCACCTTCGAAGGCTATGGGCAGACAAACACCCAGCCAAAGAACCGGAGCTTGCGCAACTGATGACTCGGTGATGACCTCGGGCCGTCAAGGTGGTTGAAAGCCGAAAAATACCTCCGATCCCGAACATCAATGCCGAAGAAGCGGACATCCGACCATCGAGTGGCTCACCGCATGATGGAAGAAAAATAAAGGCAAAAGTCTCCGTGTCTTGCCTGACACGATCAAAACGCCGTCTCACTCTGGACCTCCAGAGGCAGTGGTTCCCAATTGAACTTCCAGGGCATGGTTATGTCGCAGTTCAAATCCATCCAAGTAAACGCCGTTGCCCTAGCCAAAACCTAGTCCTTTTCCCATGGGTATATCGCTGAAATGTTCTTTAGACGCTCGTACAATGAAACCGAAATAATAAGAGAGGCTCGACAGATGCGAAGTGGACTGTGCAATTGCCAGGACGATTCAGCTTGGTCGAGGATCGACGGTTGGTCCCGGTCCTTTTCTTCGTCGCATCCTTGGTCGTTGTCTGACAACGTTCTGGCAACGGAGCGCCGTCTCTGCCGATCCTCTGAATCGTAAAGATCCGTAATTCCGCATGCCCCCCGACTTTCCCAACAGCCTTTCTCTGTCGGCAGCTAATGCTTTCTGCATGAGAGCATATTCCTCGTCTTGATCGCAAAAGCCCTCGTCCACTTCGGGTTGTGTCAAGGCTGGATCGATCTCGGGATAGCCGTCGGCATCAATGTTGGGAAGATGAGGATATACAGGAACAGCTGCTGGCAAAGAAGACATTGCTGCAGATGGACGAACGTTGCACTGCAACTCTCCCGAGACCATGTCCTTGATACGTGCCTCTATGGCGCGGGCATTGGTTGGATTGTTGACAAAGCGGCTGTAACGCTGACGCCGAGCTCTCTTCCAATCGGCCACTGGCTGGTGCTCCTTGATATCGTCTGTAGCAAAGTTCATATCGCAATCGTCGTCCACCTCTAGATCGGCCATCGATAAATCGGTGACCAGTGACGAGGAGTCTATCGCCGACGTCACCAGCGGATTTCGTTGTCGAAATTCTGGAATCAGAGTCTGTTTGCTGAGCTCGCGGGCAAGGTTGTCCACGGGTTGTGGTGGAAGTGGTAGTGTATCAAGAAGAGCCGGAGATGATGCCGGGGGGGACAAGAGTCCTTTAGTCGGGTTCGGTAATTCTCGTGAGCGTTGTTTAGGAGAGAGAGATGGCTCCTCGCTAGAACCGTTCGCACCTGAGCGGATCTGGGTTCCTAATGCAAAGTGGTCGAACATCCTTCCTCACGTTTGAGCGGAGGCTGGCGACAGATGGATTTGCCCTAGGTATGTGTTGACGAGAGCACAGCAAGGGCTGAAGCTTGCTCTGGGGAGGGCGGGCTGCTATTATGAAGGCATCCGCAACGGCGCTAGGGACTGGGCGAAGAGGCGCCGTAGCGGCCACAAAAGGCCCTGGAGTGATTACTCCCGATACTTGGTAGTGAGTGCTAGCAGCAAGAATGACGTTGTTCCAACTCTGAGAGCGTGCGGGAAAATTGAGCGTGGCTGGGACGTTGACCAAGAAGGAATGCTGCCATGTGTTTGGGTATGTGTGTCGTATATCCGATTTTCGTTGGTTAGAGATGTTCGTAACGAACAGAATATGCCACGATAGAAAGCAGAGTGCGTCTCTCTGCTGGTAGAGACAGGAGGACGAGTGAGGATGAATGAGCGGTAGGGGACGTGGAATGGGAGAAGAGAAGTTGATCTAGATTAGGAGAGACGGTTTCCAACTGAGGGATGGCTAGAGGGCAGGAGGACGAGGAAGACGGAGGAGACTAGTTGTTTTGGCGTAGCGTCACAGAGGATGCTAGCTAAAGTAGTGTAGCTGTGGTGACTGGGCTCGAAGGGGACGATGAATTTGGATGTAAACGGAGTCGAAGAGAGTTGCAGGACGAGGCGTACGGCGCGTGGGCGGGCGCAATACACATATGGTCCTTTCCTTGGGTTGAAAAGATGCGGTATGGAACCCGTCCCTGTACCAGAACCAGCACCGGTAGCCAGTATCTGGCCTAGCAGTATCCGTACCGTATGGCCGGCACTACTAGCGAGCTAGCGCGGCCAAGTTTCTCTGGAGACAGTGGAGGGACAAGGAGAATGGTTGCACAAAGGCGAAGCTAGAGGTTGGCTGGCGGCACCACCCTGGGACTGATGCTCCTCTTCGTGCCGTGTGACAGCCGGAGAAGAGGATAAGGGGGGACGAGTGAGCGTAGCTACAGCGTTTCGGGAGGGTTTGCTTGGTGGTTGTTGAGCTGAACTGAAATTTCGATGTTGAGTATGAGGCGAAGGTGCGTTCGGGTACCTATCCGTACGGATAGCTCCAGTTGGGTAAGAAAGAGGCGGAGGCGGAGAAGGGTCAAGATGGGCAAGCCGAAAGATGTTGTTCTGAATGTTAGGAGCGACGAAATACCTAGGAATGCCAATGGCCTGAAAGTGAGGCGAGGCAATGGAAAGCGCGTCAGCTCTGGTGAAGGCCGACAAGAGCTAGACTTGTTGAAGGGATTCGACCGAAGAAATTCTAGGGGTCGAGGGAGCTAGATGGGGATCTTAATTCTTGGTTTGGGGGCTCTCTATGGGCCCTGTCTCCTTTCTGCAGGGACAGCCAGCGTCCGGGAGGGTCAGCGAGGATGACAAGTAGAGACTTGATCGGCGACCGTTGCCTGGTTCGTTGTGTGAGGTGTGCTGTGGTATGTGTGTTCCAAGCCTGTCCTTGCTTGCTGGTCGGAAGGGGTACTAGGGATACTGCGTACGCTATGTAGTACTTCGTACGCATACACAGGCAATGGAAAGTCAAGCAACCGGTGAGATCCGGGCCGGGTGGGTCAGAGTAATGCGGGAGTTGAAACCGGAGGATTCCTGGTGATGGTTCTAGGGCCGAGAGGAAGAAACGGGACTCGGGAAGTCAATCTATTTTCCATTTGAGCCTTAAGATTGTCAGCCGTTTGCGAAGATTTCCAGTGACGGTACGGAGTATGGCTTGCACTTTGCGAGTCGGAGGGTTTCGAACGGATATATAATTGAGTGCGCGTAGTAAGTATTCGTACAAAGCACCCGGTAACGTGGACGCGGTTTGAAAAAAGAAAATGAGAGGGGGGGGGGGCCTGGAAGGATTGAAAAGCGTGCAGATGCTGGGTCGGAGGCGCGCCAAAGGCCCAAAACCGTGGGAAAACGGTGCAGTACCGACGGACGACACCCAGTGATCTGGGTCTGACGGCTGAGTCAAAACGCACGAGGGCAGCTTTGGTGCCCTTTGGAGGAGATTGGATGACGGGCCAAGGAAGGAACGAGCGCCGATTTGCCTGTCTGTCCCTTGATGACTAAAGACCTAAGACCTTGAGGATCGTCCCCTCCGGGGTTTGGGAAGAACCCGTCCCGCCGTGTCTGCTTTCATCTCATGCAACGCAAAGACAGAGGCAACTATTGTACGTATATCATAGACTTTTTGTCTTCAACAAGACGGTAGGTATAATGTGAGATCGTGATACCGGTATCTACGCAGTACTCCGTACCATGTGCAGGCAAGAGAGGAGGGGAAAGGCCTGTCCATCCTGGTTGCCGCCCCTAACGGAAAGCAACAAGTACGTACTCGGATCTAGCCCCGATCAAGAAGGCAAGACAGGGAGCCTTGTGGCCCAGATCCCTGGTCCAGTGCTAAGCGAGCCCACTGGACCGCACTGGCCACTTCTCTTTCAATGGAAGTTTCCACTCCCATCCAGGTCCCTGTCCCCTTTCCACCCACAAAGGCTTGTCGCCGGTCGGGAGTCGGGATCCAAGGACAACCTTCAACCACCTTGACGTGAAGTCGCAGTTGCAGTGTCGCGTCCTCATTTTCGGGTATGTGGGGACTCGAACCATTGCGCGGGCCAACGTCCCTCCTGTCTCGCAGCGCACGGGATACCGGGATATCTACGAACACAGCGTCGTGAGCTTGTACGGATCACATCAGTACACTACTCCGTACAGTCATTAGGTGTAACGTAGCTACTATGGACCACCCGAATCAGTCATGGACACTTACGCTTCATTCATGACTTGGTGCTCCCACGTAGCTCGCCTATGACAGGTGGGCACAGCAGGAGTAGCACAGCAGGTGATGCGAAGAATCTGGCCGGACTGTCAATGGCTTCACCAAAGTGCGAAGGTAAGGTAGCTTCAAACGGTCGTCGTGTTTAAGAGGCACTCGTCGCGCCTGCCCATACTGCGCTTTGCGGTCTTGCCAGCCATTCAAGGGAGAGCGACAGGGATCCACTTTAACCAGGTGGGTCGCATTGGAGCTTCTTGACTGGTTTGTCTGTCATTTTCCTAGCGCCTGCACCGTGCACAGGTACCCATGCTCCCAGAGACCCACTCGACTTGTCGCTCCACCTCTGTACAGACAGGAACGTACCATGGCAGACCCAAAACAGACGGAACGGAGACGATGCAGCAAATCAGCGAAAGGAAGACTACGTGGATCAAGGTACCTTCACGACTCATCATCTCGACACACTGTGCACAATACCTTACCTTACGTCCATCCGCAGGGTACTCTGTCATCAAGGGTGAGGCTCTCTCCTCTTACACAAGTCAACCTGCCTGGACTTGCACACAACCATCACCAATCCGTACAAGACAAAAGTACGGATATTCGCGTCAAACATCATCTGCCTCTCGGTCGGCCTGGAGTCGAGACAATCCGCCCGAATCTTCAAGTACTCTCCCTCCATTGGCTACAAATACCGATACACGCACACGAACACGGCGCAAAGTATGCTTCGCTCACTTGCGACTCGCCCGTGTCGTACCTACAGTCTCAACCTTCCGCCGGGAATCCCAGCATCGTCTGATGAATGTGAGACCAAGCGGCCACCCGGGCGCAATACCGCACGGTCGCATGGACTCTGAGACCAGCTTGCCTTAGCTCGACTGCTATTCATGTCACAACGATGCACAGCTGCCTTCGAGAATCGCTAGAACAACCACTTGTCTTGCACCCTCTGCAGCCGGTACCCGTCCATGTGCCAGCTGTCTCTGCCCTCCCGAGCGACGCGCTTTATATTGTACAATAACGGATAGCCATACGACGAATTCGGTCTTTCTCCGTGTCCTCACACATCTGAGACAACTTTGCCGAATTGTGGGCTGCGAGCGCGTGTGCTAGCCATCTGCAAGACTGCAAGACGCAGGTCGTAAAACTACGCCTGGCATCCCGCCTGATATTGAGACTGATCAGTCAGACCAATACCTCAATGAAGGGTGCAGTTCGATAATCATGTAGCTTCCCTTGCCAGGTGGCCACGGACGCTCTCGACGCCACACTGGCCGCTCCAGATGCGAGAAACACGCCATTGTTTAGATGAGACGGGCCCGATTGCTGCACAGTGCTCCGCCAACAAACATTTACATATACGGCTCGGTCAAACAGGCTTTCTTTAAACGGTATCACTCTTTCTAAGACTACGAAGGCTACAGCTCGCAAAAGACGTAATGAACTCTCACCCCAGACAAGAAGAGACCGGACATCAGATACATCGAGCGATCCTACTACACCGGCCCCTCACAGACTGATACCCACGAGGCCTAAGACCACGAAAGCCTACCGCCCCGAAGCGCTCCCGGGATGGCCTTGTTCGTCCCAAGTTACTGCTCACGTATACCTGAACTTTTGTAGGGCTTTCAGTCCATGATGTAACCCAGCTGAGGACCAAGAAGGCCGATGCCCCGGACTCCTCAGCCTGATAGAACACGTTTGGGGTCAAGGCACCAGCCAATGGACAGCTTCAGACATTTCCGTGGACACAATTAACGAAACTGTCAAAGCACGTCAACCCAGTTTTCTGGGACTAAGAGAACCTTGGACATATCGCATCTCTGTGGATCGTTAAGCATACCAGTTGCTACGCGCCATACGACTTGACTCGATATCTTAATTCTATTCAGCCCAGCATGTACACTCACTTACAAGCAAAGACAATGCCATCACGCAGGCAACCTAGCCTGACTCCTAAGGAGCAAAAATGGTCGAGAAGCAAGGGTTCTGGAACGCCCGAGAGTTCCAGTCACGACTCATTACTAGGACATGGTGCAAAGTCTCAACCGTTTGGAGGCGCTTCTGTTCATGGCCTTACCTACAATCACCTTCGAAACGCAGATCACCGTCTCCATTCTTGCATAGTCTTGTCCACTTTCTCGTTGGCGGGCCTATCCCCAGACAAGATCACCAAATCCGCTCGGGGTGGGGGATCGTTCCCACTGGTCAATGCTCAACCCGCCCGGTGGCACAACTTAAAACTAGGTCAACCGGGTGGAAGCTGAATACCTACATACGCAGTACTCAGTAGACACTCACAGATGTGTCGAAGATTTTGCTGCTCTACTCAGAAGTCCCCACGTTTCATTACCAACAGTCCTAGGCTGCCTGGCTCCCTGGCACCGACAGTCAGGGGTCTTCCGGAAATAACTTTCGCAGGTGCATCTTCACCCCAGTGACCCCACCGGCGACTAACTCTCCGTTCTACCTGGTTGCACGTCATTACCAGATTACGCTCTTGAATTCAAACACCGACAAATCCCGGCCAGAACTACCTACCCGATCAACTCGTACAACCATGCATATCTGTAGACAGTGCTCGATCTGAAGTGTACGGAAAGACATGCGAGCAAACCCAATACCTAGTCGCGTCCCGCGGAAGCTCTACGAGCGCAACAAACAGGCCGTTTCTGTGGTTGGTTGTGACGACACACGGATACTTCTGTCATGGGCCTTACGCAGTATTCGTCTACTTGTTGAGAACCGTCTGGCAACCCACTTCCAACCGAGAGACCGTTCTCTATCCGTTTTGTGGCATGACTCAAACACAGCCTGGAGCTTCTGCCTTAATGCCGAAGAACAACCATTGCGTCATAGGTGCTCTTGTCCAAGACCCGATACTGGTTGAAGCCTATCATGTTACAGTCGAGCAATGAGGATGCCGGTTGATATCTCGAGGCCCGAGATCGGCTCTGGATGGCAGAAGTGAAGCGATGATATCACACCATCCTCGTTTGGATCAGATGCCAGCCCAGCACATTTTCTTCAAAATTGGTTTCGGTGGTGAAGGACCACGGCGGCCATGCTTCTGTCGGCTGATCCACCACCGCTGTCCGATCTGCAAGATCGTTGCACGATGTCCTTTTCTCACCGCCGCATTGACGCTTGTCGCAGGAGAGCATTGGACTGGCGCTTGCCCGTGTCGGGGAAAGCCTCATCGGCCGTGTGCTCGTTCATCCTCACTCTCGTCCGTAGAGTTTAGTGAATGCTCATTACTTTAGCCAGTTCACCGACGGCGGGAAATCTCACCCCGGGTTCTGGCGCCGCCGATACTGCGGTAGGTTGAAGGCTGTGGTTACACAAAGACTTTTACTAGCCTTACGGCTATGCTCAAAAAGTTTCCAAATAGGTCTCCAAACGGAGCTTAGTTGTTTGAGACGAAGAAAAACTCGGGCACTGCTGACTACCGAATAGACTACTGTAGAGGTGGTCACGGGCTGAAGGATATCCTTCTTCTTTAGTTTCAATTCCCCTGTCCATGGGTTGGCCATGGTCGCTGCCGTCGCGGGGTGGCTGATCAAGTAGGATAGGTACCTCCGGCTGAAGCAGCGAAAATTAAAGTTGCACTCTATAATAACCCGAAAAAAATGATAGCTTTTTTTTTTTACGCGCGAGAAGAAGCAAAAGTTCTTTGTTCCCGGGCCGCCGGGATATGGGCGACGTTCGGCTCTTGCGCATTTTTTTACGCACGTAACTCTATCTTGGAATGTATCCCCGCCAATGGGTGGCTGTGCCTGGTCTGGACTTCTGAACTCTCTGTGTGTGTGGTAGTTTAGAGACAGAACAAGCTTTTGGCTTGTCACGGCTTGGTGAGATGAGTTAATTAGATTGTTGTAGTCGGGATTTTTCGTAGTTAATTTTTTCCCCCCTCAACTACCGGGGTTGAGGAGCCATTTGGCGTCTTGTGCTTCTTGATGCCTTTGGAGGGCTGGCTGGAAGCTCCAGTCGCGGGAGTCCCATCCTGTTTGAACCTTGTTGGGAATGGACGGCGACCTGTTTAGTTAGGGTTTGGCGGTTTAGCCGGTCCCATGTCTTGGAGTAAGCTTGTTTGCGAGAGTTTTTTATTGTCGACGGGGCGGCTTGCTTTTCCCCGTCGTTTCTTTGGGCTGTCTGCTACTCTTGGGAAAGCCTGGGATGGCTATGCCGAGGCGCGGGGGATCATGGGAATCCTCGAGTGCCGCGGGCATTGGTTTATTGCACCTACCTCTGTGTATTTCCTTTCCAGGATGGAAATACCGTTTAGCTCATTGGGAATCACGTCGATGACTTGCGCAGCGATCAGATGGAGTTCTTGTCTTGAAATGTTGAACTAGCTGAGAAGAGGAGGCTAGAAGGAGCATGCTAGAGCTTCATCTGGTTACCGTGATAAGGAACACTGCCGGCCGGGGCTATGTGAAAAGTGAGTTTGTCATGCGCTCCGTGGCAGATGATTCTCGAATCCCCAACATATCGCGGACGGCCGTAAGGCTATCACATTGGTTTTTAGCTCTATTGATCCCACCCAGCACGTTAAAAATCGGCCAGGCCGTGTCTGTTGCCAAAGAGTTGCGGCTGGTAGAGTCCGTTGGCGGTGACTCCAGCGTGACCAAAGATTCAATGAGACGAAGAGAGGTGATGATGTCACATGAGCCTCCACAATTGCCAGTAAGAGTGGTACAACCATCAGAGGCCCAAACGCACCCCAGAACAAGAGCGAGAAGAGGCTACAAGAGCCGCAGGGATAGAAACGTTATGGGATACTTGATGTCGAATACAGAAGAAGAGCAATGAAGAAGAAGAGTATTGTGAGGAAAGGAGACAATTCGAGCCACTGACGCTGTCAAACTCTTGGCCTGCTGGCCTGTCATGGCGATAAAAGAGCAAGCGTTCCGGGTCGAGGCGATATCAACAGACGCTGCTTCAACATTGCAGATAGTCAACATACCCAAATGTCACTTTTGTTCCCTCTCCCCTCCTCCAGGAGCTCTGTTCACATTAATAGTGTCACCTCGCGACGTCAGAAGGTTGAATTCGCAAGGAGACGAATCGGCAAAGAGACGGATCGCAACGGATGCCTTTTCGATCATCGGTTTCTTGGGTATCGTCGGCCGACCTCTCGATAGACAGTATTTAAAGACGTATAGGTAGGGAGAGTGAATGTCAACAACAACCTTCGGGGGCAACTGACTCTGTGAACTGTGGAGGATCGGACTGTAGCGGCTACACGTCGAGAGCAAGTTTGAGTTGGTTGTTTCTGGGGTTTCGCCTAGGCGAATGACCAGCCACGCCAAGATTGATCTTTGGAAAGGGAGCTTTCCCCTAGGCCCTTCTTGTTGGAGAGTAATATCACTACCGGAATGTAGTAGAAGTAGAAGGAGAGGGAAGACGCCGATTAGGCGCCCGTATGGAGAGGATTTGTGGTATGCCTGTCGATGCCTCAAGAGTTGGGCCCTCACTAAATCTTTCGCCGCGTTAGGGACCTTGGAAGCGAAAGTCGTCGAACCAACTTTCGAAGTTGAGTAAAAGACGATGTAGGGGGGTCGCCCTGATTATATAGATTTTCCTACGGGCATCAAGAACATCAAGAATGCCGCCACAGCCTTCTCCACGCCTCCTCGCTCTCACATTGTAAAGTGCGCTTCTAGATCAGTCGGTAAGAAGAATCGCGATGCCGTGGGTTCCTGATCACATTGCCTCTCATCTCACTCTGAGATACAGTAGAGTGCTTGTATTCCTATAGTCGTCCTATCACGTAGCTCGCTCAACTTCAATATTCTTGACCTCTCTAAAGTGACCAGGTGATTTGAAGCTATGGACGAAGATTCGAGGTCGTAAATAGAAATTCTATTCTCAGCTCGTGCCGGATGATACTGTCTCGTAAACAGGAGATGTGCTGCACACATATCGATTCAACTGATTCCCGTTCCAGCATTGGCTGAGCAGGATTTAAGTCTATACGAAGCCCCGGGAATCCTGCACGGTCCACGATTATCGTGATACCACAGCAAGAGCGCTGCGGGTGGGTTTCTAGGCCTCTCTCAGCTTCAATCTCTACTGGCTTCGTGACCTAACTGAGATATAAATTCTGCGGAGCAGCTGCTACGATGATGTCTGTCACGGTAGGATTTATTGCATATGTAATCTGCGCACCCTGAGGAGTCACAGTCATCTTCTTGATCCGGAAGGCATGTCGAGCTGTTGATGGACGCTAGGTCCGAGGAAACATTGAGCTATTGCTTCGATCATGACCAAGTTATATGATGGGCGGTCACTTTATTGAAGCAGACAGCGTGATAGCCTTGTTCCTATTCGCGAATTGAAACTTGATCCACGTCCGGCGACCTTCTTGAGGAGATGCCGGTCGATATGACGGTTATTTTCCATGAAAATATTGACCCCGTTTACCAGTAGTAGTATAATATGCGCTTCAACGCCCCAGAATTGATTCTTCTTTTCTGGGAAGCCATATCACTCGACGTAGTGAACTCCCAGTGGTTTGCTTACTTGAGCATGTTCTTCCAAGGTCTATGAAGAAGAGTATCCGATCGTCGTTCTGTGTTCGAAGATTGACATAGCGTTCAACAATCCAATACCATATGCTGTATTCCCCCATCTGTGTCCGCTAGAAGGTCCATCACATTTGGATACTCAAAGGCCACGGAAGACCTAACCAAAGAACCCATTGAACCGAAAGGCATAATTACTCGGATACTGGAGAATCCTAACAGATAGCGTCATTATACTTTCCGAAGTGGCCTTCGGAGACTTATCTACCCCGTGCGAGAGTCAACTGGAACCAGCACAGATGCCTGTGCCAAACAGAGGAAGCTCATTTCTGGAATGACCGTAAACTCTTATATAAGTTTGAATTTCCGCCGACTACTAAGGAGCTTGGAGGTGTGTGTGTGTGTGTGTGTGTGTGTGTGTGTGTGTGTGTGTTCATGCCGCCGAGTATAGTACTCGAGCACTCTACTCGTTGATAGATCCTGCTAAAGAGATCTCTCTGGAACAATAGCTCAGACTTCAGCTGGTGTGTTCCGCGAACTGAACCTGCTTCCGTCAAAGGAAGGCCACCCTATGGCTGTGGATCTTGACAGTAAAACCAAAGAGGTGGCGGGCGTACCGCCTTGGCGAGGTTGCTCGCAAGAAGTGTGTCCCCAACGATATTGACATTACAGGTAGATATCCAAACAGACTTCCTTGAGGATATCTTCTAAAACTAATGTCAGCGTGTAAGTTGTGCGGCTCAGTCAGTGCTTTTAAACCGCTCTTCCTCAAAAGTTTGCGGGAAAACAGATCTTTGGCAGGTTTCTTTCAAGACGTAGCAGCAGCACGAAACTCGAGGCAGAAAACTTGACTCGAAAACAAAAGAAGAAAGAGACAGCAGCCAGGCGGATTCACCTGGTACGGTCGAGGTACATCAGTTTCTACTGCCGTGTAGAGCGCAAACGGACGTCGTCAAAGACCAGACCGGAGCCTTGTACGCCGACTGACGCTTACAACGATGACTGTGGACACGACACCCTTACGGCCCCGTTCCTCATAGCCTTAGACTATTTGGAACTTGCAATGAGTGTTAATGTGACTAGACAGCGTACTATACGACCATATATTCAACGGACCACGCGTCTGGTGGAAAGCAATCCACACTGTCATTGCTACCCAGACCATGTCCAGGTTTCCCTTGACAATGTAAATTAATCTTACAGCCCCATCTACGGTCATCACGGTCGGTTATATCATGATTCCCGACTCTCTTGTTAAGCACGAAGCTCTCTGAGCGGCAACCTTTATCTACCTACCCATCATTAACCCCTTCTCGTTCATCAGAAATCGCTCTCCGAGCCTAGGCTGCCGAACACTGCCCTTCTTCTCTTTTCAAGTACTCTGAGATACTCTTCTCCAAACAAACTTGGCACTGGAACAAATTACGTCCTACATTCTCACGAACGTCTTTAATAATCCTCCACAAGACATCGAGCGGGGTCCGAGCAACTGTAGTCGGACGACCCGGCCGCCCCGCCCCACCCTCACCCCGCCGCGTCTTCGGACTTGCCCGGAAATCTTATCTTATCACAACCCCGCCCCGCGCCCGACTCCCTCTGCGCGGCGCGATATCTGATCCTCACGACGTCCTTCTCTCACTCACACCTACTCACGTCAACTCACACCAACTCCCCATACATCTTATAACTTTTCCCACCTAAACCACCAAACCTCCTCCAGTCTCACCAACATCAGCGATTCATACCTCTTCCCAACTCTCCTCTCACACCACAGTCCTCTACCCTCGTCCAAGACATCTATCAACCTCACCATAGCACATCATCACAACCCAAAATGCAATCCCCCCCTCCCCCAGAACTCAAAATCTCCCCACAGCTCCTAAACTCGGCAAACCCATGGTGCACAACCCTCGACGACCTCCGCCAACTCCACGCGTGCCCCCACACAGGCGCCCTCACGACACGAACCTCCCTCCTCGCAGGCTTCGCCCACAACGACGCAAGCCACCAATACGCCTTCTTCGACCCCTCCACCGCAAAACCCTCCGCGGCGCCAAACTCCTCCACCCCGGAAGCGCCCCGTTCCCAACTTGGCCCCGCGGACGTCGCGTCCCTGAATAACCTGGGCTACTCCCCGTTACCCCTCCAAACCTACCTCGACTTCATCAGCCAACTTCCAGAAGGCCACGGCCACCATGGTCACCACCGCCGCAAACTCATCATCATCTCCGTCACAGGCACCCCCTCAGAAATAGCACAATCCTACGCCCTCATAGCCTCCTTCTCCTCCAAAACAACCCACCCGCTCGCAATGGAAATAAACCTCTCCTGCCCCAACATCGCCGCCGCCGCCCCGCCAGCCTCGGACCGCGCCCAGCTGCTCGCCTACCTCGCGGCACTCCCCCGGGACCCCCTCATCCCCATCGGCCTCAAGACGCCGCCGTACACACACCTGGCGCACTACGCCGAGCTGATCGCCGCGCTGCGCGAGGACGCCACCGTCGTCACCCCGAAAGCTATGCTCAAGGTGCCCTGCAAGATCAGCTTCATCACCGCCGTAAACACGCTCGGCTCGTGTCTCTTGCTCGAGGGCGGCGACCACAACCCGCGACTTCCGGGGTCTGGACTCGGTGGGATGGCGGGGGCGCCTTTGCATCCGCTGGCGCTGGGGAACGTGAAGACCATTGCAGAGTTGGTCGCGCGAGAGCCAGAGTTGTTGCACATCAAGGTCATTGGTGTCGGTGGCGTCTCGGACGCTGATGGATTTAGGCGGATGAAGAGCGTCGGTGCGTATGCTGTTGCCGTCGGGACGGCATTAGGAAGGGAAGGAATAGAAGTCTTTGAAAAGATAGCTGCTGGGCTTGAGAAACATTGAGTGCGGCTGTGGACAGCATCCTCCAATCTCATGACGTTCACAATGGCGATATGCAAGTTCGTACAGACGAGCGGTTGGAATGTTAATCATAACTTTTATTCATTGAACGTCATTATCATTGGGTATATAGCAATTAATATAAAAGGCCCGTAGGCCTGTTGTCGCACAAATAATCAAAACATGTCGCTCGCTCACTCATACTGTCTGAGATTGATGGATATCGTTGCTCCCCTCAGATCCTTTACTAGAGCCATTCTTTTCTTCGGAATGCTCTACTACTGGTGGCGTAACGCTCTCGCCATTGGTCTTCCCAAAGGGAGATATCTTGCTGAAAATGCTGCCTCGCTTGCTCTTGGCTGCAATCGTGGAAAGCGTTCGCCTGCGCCTCCTGATTTGGCTATTGATGTCGATTTCGTCCTGTCCGGAAACACGCTCCTCGGGGGATATGTAGGAGTGTGCAGGGTCTGTCATCGTCTTGGCGTCGCGCACAAAGGCAAGCCATATGGGGTAGAAGCCCGTAAGGACAAACAGGGCGACGATGATGACGAAAGAAAGTTGCACTGACACGCCGCTGTTGATGACGGCGTAGACAATGTATGGGAAGAATGCTGCGCCAGAGCCACCCATGGTGATGAAGGCGGCAGCACGCTTAGTACGCCTGCCTTGACCGCGAAGGCCGATAGCGAAGATCAGGGGCCAAACAGGTCCTTCGGCGAAGTAGAAGAGTATGACGACAACCATGAGGAGGTTCGGATCCGATGGCTGCAAGACGACTGTGAGAAGGGCGAACAAGGTGGAGAGACCGACGCTGATGGCCAGCCACGTTCTCGGTTTCGGCATGCGCGGATTGCGCACCGAAAGATATGTGAGGTACGCAACAATGAATCGCGAAATGGCGAAGACACTGTGCGCAATCAGATGATAATCTGTAACACCTATTGTGAGCCCTGGAGGCTTGTCACTGTTCTCGCCTGGGTTTGTGTCGGCATTCGTAGCCGCAACACCGCCGTCTTCCTGATTCGGGAGGATGGCTATTGTGAGTGCGCGAAAGAAAATATTGTTGCTTTCTTGGCAAGCGACATAGGTCCACTGACCGAGGACTGCCAGGATCAAACTCCATGTGCGCAATTGCAAACCGCCGATGCTACGCTTCTGAGGATTGACTGGAAGCCGGTCTGCCGATTCTTGCAGCTCGTTATCGTTCAGCTCTGGGAGCGGCATGTAGTAGAAGAAGAGGCCTAGGGCGACGCAAAGCAATGTGATGGCGAGGTACGTCCATTGTACGTTCAGCAACGTCACAGAGTCTGAGCCACCCTGATTGGTGATCTTGGTGAAGAATACTCTTTGGGCCATAAGACCGCTCAGAACGGAGCCCACGCCTTGTACACCTTGAGCGAGAAGTAGTCGTGTCTCTCCGTACTCTGGCGGCCCGCAGAGAATCAAGAATGCGTTGGCTCCTGTCTCGAGGACAGACAAGCCAAAGCCGACCACGAAGTTGCTGAGTAGGAAACCCCCCCAGGACTTGGTAACAGCGGATGGCCAGAAAATGATGGTTCCTACACCGTAGAAGCAAAGCCCGACAATGAAAGTAACCTTGAAGCCACCAACACTCTCCGCGTCGCGTTTGTTGTTCTTGCGGTTTCTTCGATGATGTTCGTCTCGCCTAAGAATCCACTCTCCCACCAACAAGGGACCAAAGAAGTAACCACCGCCAAAGTAGGCGGATGTGAGGCCTAGAGTTTGAGCAACGGTCATGCCTGACACACCGGAGATGACGTTGTTGAGGGTATTTAGCAGACCGTAGGAAATGCCCCACATCACAAATAAGATTGTGACCACCAGGCAGTATCGGAGTGATTCTTGAGCGTCACACTTGACCATGCTCTTGGGGCGTTTCATGTTGACGAAGCCAAAGTAAATGGTGTTTTCTCTGCTCGTTGCGATAGAGGCTCGGTTGGCAGCGCCGCCAACCCTGCCCGCCCCGGTGGCCTCATATTCGGCCAACGTCATATCTGGTGTTGTCAAGAACTCAAGTGCTGTCATGTCGTTCACCTCCGCGTTCGCCGCTGCGCTCATATCTCGACTGGCTCGATGTGTTACGGGGGGCTCTTGGATGTTGACTGAGCCACGGTAATTCGGACTTGTCGGTGATATAAGGCCGTCGCTGCCGGTGCGATTTCTAGGGCTGTCTAAGGCGTCTTTTTCGGTCTGCGTGCTCGATCTCGTTCCATCCGGATCGATGATCATGGCAGGCAGAATCTTAATAATCAATGGCTTGAGAGTAGGGATACACGCGCAAGCCATTCCCACGTTAACCTCTACGGCAGACCACATAAATGACAAAGACGAGTTCCAAGCAAAGTCGGGTGTGCCGCCAAAGTGAGAACTCGGATCGCTAGACACGCCGCCGGTGGGGACCGAGCTGACGGCTTGTTGTAGGTAGTAGATTCGGACGACGTCCACAATAGTGACGAAGATACCGATAGTGAAGGTGAGTACGAGAATAATCTTTTGCCTCGGTGGCAATCGCATACCCGTGAGAACGGGGATCGGCAAGGCTAGGATAGCTAAATCGGTTACGATGTTGATGGGAGCAGAACAGATGAATTCCGTCAACAGCGGGATGCATTGTGAAGTGTCCCGCCATATTTCCCATGCGGCCTGAACCGGCCGACATTGGAAGATGTTGATGAGGGTTAATACAGCCCCTGCTAGGTTGACAATGCCCAGAGTCACCCAAGATGCAAACCGAAGCACCTTTTTCGTATTTTTGGAGAGGCGGAGGTAGAAGATCAGAATACTGGTCTTGGTCGCCATCAGGGCGGGATTCTGCAATTGTGTAAGTATTGCACCTAAGCCAGTGTCTCAGCAGAACGGCAGTACTCACATAGAGTATTGAAAAAACATATTCGCACGCTCGTAAAGAATTCCAGTGGCCCGAGGGTATATCGTCGTCGTAGCGACCCAAGCCTTTTCGTGTACCAAAACAAATGGTGAAGGACAATCCAAAGGCAATCATCCAGGCAAAGAACATAATCTTGTCGTCCCAGCTGACATTTCTGACAATCCATCGCCGGCAGAACAGACGGGCAGCAACCATGACACTCGCTAGGACGAATGTTGCGGCTGTCACGGCAAAGACTGCCGGACCGCGATCCGGGACGCTATCATCTGCGGCATCGGCAGATGACATGCTCGGCGAGAAGTGGCGACCAACCTGGGGAGCGCGAGGGAGATTCACCACCACGGAGGTTTGGCAAGGGGTGTAGGGTGGTTAACTAGACACCGATGACAACCATGCCATGACTTTGGGCTCTGACACATGGACGCAGTCGAATGAGTTGGTGTTGGCGTGCAATTCCGCTCGATATCGAAAAACCTCGGATGGATAGGGTCGGTGGTGGTGCAACTGTTCGCGGGGTGAGATCAGAAAAGCGGAGGGGTTCTGAAGCTTTGTTCTGGCGGATTCGAGGCGTTTTTGGAGAAAAAATTCGGGGTCGGGCGAATTCGTCAGTGCAGAGTGCAAGTCCTAATGAATCGGGCGGAACGCAAAAGGCTGGAGTAGGAAAGTTGTGAGTTTGAGCGTCGGGTAGCAGTCGTCCAATCCTTCTAGCTGCAAGCTTGCGCGAATATCTTCGTAACCGGCAGTTCGAGTGGTGTGTGATGTCCGACAAAGCCGCGGCGCGTAATTGGCAGGCGAGGATGGCGCAGCGTCATACAAGCCGTTGGCGAGGTTAGCGGCAGTGTAGGCGAAGACAGCCGGCAAGGCAAACGTAACGTGGGTTGCTGGCCGTAAGCGAGGGACACAGACAGACAGAGCCAGCAGGAGAAGCTCTGAATGTGTGGCGGGGGGGAGAAGAAGGGGAGGAAAAGAGAGTCGAGATAGAAAAGTCGAGAATACGGGATGGGATAGTTGGAGCAAAGAACGACAGCTTTCGTCGAGGCGAGGTAAACCGTAAGTGATGCTGGGCGCCTCCTCTGCAGGCTAATGCTTGTCTAAGGTGTGGTGTCGGTTCGGTAATGGCTGGTTGGACAGTTAACTTGTGGATGGTTTGCGTTGACGGGGCCGTCGCGTGGGCTGGTGGACTCGTGGTCCTCTTTCAGTTGTCGCGGTTGCGTTCCCACCGCCTATGGCAGCCGTTGCAGAGTTTTCCGATCGGGGACAAAGGCGAGCCGCGATGGAGATTCGTAGTTCTGGCGAAAAGATACTTTGGTAGGTACTATGGGGTCCCTTGGTACAATGGAGCATCTGAGTGGGTGACGATGCGGATTGATGGAGACCAGAGGCAGGGCGGTCGTGGCGGGCTGAGCTCGTGGGAGTGGTAGAGCGAGATTGGTCGTGGGCCCTTTGGAGTCTCCAGTACCGCGGGAATCCACCGTGGCGGTGACTGACAATGGTCACTGGTTGACTGACTGGACTGGTTGGACTGAAGTGATGCGGGATGCCTTGGATGACAAGACGTGGAGGACAGGAGGTGGTGACAACCTTCCCGTAGGCTCTGACCGTCTGGATTTGAATTAGGTTTAAAACTACCCGTTGTGTGGTGTGTACTAGCAGGTATGGTTTGATAGGCAAAAGGCAATAATGTGCGTATCGGGTCGGGTCGGTGGTCGATGGACGACGTGAGGGAAGTTGAAAGAGGCGGGAAAATCAAACGGTATGTTGCGGCGGTGGAGCTTCCGCAGGTTCGGCGGTGCGCATTGATGTGTTGGAAGTTTGGAACTCCTGTCAGTCACTCCGTACTGCGTACGTCTGGAAGTACTGCGTAGACTCAGCCGGTCTTTTCTCTTTTTTCCTTTTGCGAACCTTTTGCGAGGGCGGGAGGCAGAAGAGGAGGAGAGACGGAGGAAGCGTTGGGTTCGCGCCAGTCCGTTCAGTGCCAGGTAAGCAGACCTCGGGCGATACTTGGCAGCTGCGTGCTTGGAGTTGCGAGAAGAAAGTACCCACGGCGTACGGAGTACGTTTGGTACATAGGATAAGTAGGTACTTGGCAAAAGAA